TTAAATGTTGGAGATTCTAGGAGGTCATTTATAGACTCTGCTCTGGTCTCACAATGTTTACTCAGTAGGCAATTATATTCCTTTCCTGAAATTCAGTAATAATGTGTTTGCCAATGATTTCTAGGTTTATATATGCTACGCAGTCTTCTCTTCAGATGTCCAGACCCAGTTGTTAAATGGACATCTTCATATGGGTGTTTAACAGGTGCTTAAAATCCTTCATTGCCCTCACTGTGTCGTTATGGTATAATCTAAGTTCTAACTTAGAAAATCTGGGCTCTGCTCTGCTCCTTCACCTCTTCTAGTGCCATTCACCTTCATCATCCAGTCTCTGGTCATACTTCAACTCTCCAAATGGGCCACAGATTTCTTGTGCTTTTCCTATGGCTTGAAGCACTCTTCTCATCTCATCAGCTAGCTCTTTGTCCTGTTTATTCTCATCATCAGACCTCTGATTATGTGATACTTCCTAGAGAAGCTTTCCTTGACTCCCCAGAGGAAGTAAGCTTCCCTTTTTTACATTCCTATGGCATGCCTTATTCCTGTATTACATACTAGCCCATTCTAACTATATTTCAACCTCTATCTCCAAAAACCTATTAACTCTATAGAGTAATGTTCTGGCTCTTTTATTTACTGGCATGTCTCCAGTCCCTAGTGGTAATGAACGCTAGACACACCCCTCCACCCCCACTGCCCATTTTGCTCTGGGGCAGGACCTGCATCAGTAACACTCTGGCCTCTTTCTTGTCCCCACCCCAACTCTTCTCTCACACTTACTCTCTCCCCAGCAACAGAGAAGGAACTCAGCTGATGCATAAATTTGAAAGGATTTGTGGAAATATTGCTTTCCCTTTTGGTCACTCGGCTAACAGGCTGAAAGTAAGATCTAACAGATCTATCAAGATGTTTTGATCTTCAACTCTCGGTTTCTTTAACCTACTTCTCAATTAGTTTCAAGCTCAAGCAGAGAATGACAACTTTATTTATTGGGCCTTCCAAAACAACAAAATAACACAGTGCTCAGCCCATTGTGGCTATATAACCTGTTGAATAAATCTATGAAAAACCTTACTCGTGAATTAAATTTGAGGATATGAAATAATGGAAAAATCAAAGAGGGTTTTGAAATAAAAAAATAAAAACAAGGGTGGTGAAAAGAAATAAGAGGAGGTAAAATAAAAGAAGGATTTGAAAAGAAGGAAAATTATGCTAAGATATATAATGCTTATTATTATATCATCTTTAAAATAATCCTGGGCATAAAATTAAGACAGAGACTTAGTTAAATTACTTGCCAATTTTTTTTAAATCAGGAAAAAGATTCATTTTTTCAAAATACAGTCCCAAAGGAGCAAATCTTTGGATTAAAAAAATCAGAAATAATAGATTTAGCAAGAATTTTAGAGACAATGTAGCACATTGTGTTTTTGAAAGGTGAGAAAACAGGTCCTCAAGGTCATAAAGAAAGTAGACAGCAAATAAGACCAGGACCAGATTTTCTGGCTCAATGCTCAAAGTCATTTTGTTGCTGTCTTCTTTAAAATGTGAGAAACCTAAAGAAAAATCAAAATAAATATTTAATGAGAGATTGAGAAAACCAGATGAATGATGAAAATGTAGCATTGGATGAGAAAGTGAATAAAAAAGAAAAAACTCATTTCTAACTCATAGATGTTTCAATTTATTCAACATTTAGTATCTGTGTTTAATGGTGATTTGGCATATAGCACAGGAGAACAAAAAAATAATGAAAATATGATGCTGACAATATCATCTATCAATCTGGAATACAGAGTCCTGGCAGGTCTATTCAAGATCAAAAGTATTTGCTGGGAACAGCTCAGTACGCTCAACCAAATACCAATATTTCAGTTCTTTCTTCTAAATTAGGGGGGAAAAGTCATCTGTCAATAACACACACACAGTTGTGGTCTGTTTTCCAAACAAAAATAAAGCAGCCAAGAGTTAAAGAGACAAGTGTGGTATTTGGGGGACTTTTTTCTTTTTCAAAAAGAAGTAGTAGAGTAGGAGATAAGTGACTGTGATTTTTAAAAATGTATTAGGGTGGTGTTAGTTAATAAAATTATATAAATTTCAGGTATATAATTCTACAACACATCATTTGTATATTGTATTGTGTTTACAACCTCAAGTCAAGTTTCTTTCCATTACCATTTGTCCTCCTTTGCCTCCTTCCTCCTTCCCCTACACCCTCCTTACCAATATGGTAATCACCATATTGTTGTCTGTGCTTTAGAGGGTTTTTTTTTTCTTTCTTTAATCCCTTCACTCAGCCCCACCCTTCCCTTCTGACACTGTCAGTCTGTACACTGTATCCAAGACTGTCTCCACTTTGTTCATTATATTCTACATATGAATAAAATCATACTTGTCTTTCTCTGACTGGCTCAGCATAACACTCTCCAGGTCCATCAATGCTGTCAAAAAGATAAGATTTCCTTCTTTTTTATGGCCGGTAGTATTCCACTGCATAAATTTTCATTTCAATGTCAAACTTTGTTGTTCACATTCTTTAGTGGTTTTATTTGTTGAAATTTTGAGATAATAGCAAGTATGGAGCCATAGCAAATAGACCAACACATATTTTTTTCTGGGTTTAATTTGATTGTATTATGTATATAGTGTATTGAAAGTTGATATGTAGCATGGTCTTTGGTCTTGTGAGAATGTGGTCCTTGTTATCAAATAATAGATAATGTTTTGCGAAGGCAAAGAAACTGCACAGGTGCCTGAACTTCTATACAGAGCTTATTCAAATAAGCATGGAGAAGAGAATATTTGTTAATAAAAATAGTGAAGTTTTGCTAAACAATGTTCTAAGATTCTACATAGATTTTCTCAATTAATCCCCCTCACAGTATTTTCAGGAATGCCTATTACTACACCTGTGAGTCAGATATGACTTCTGGGGTAGAGAGAGTAGAGAACTTTTCTAACTTACAGAGTTACAGATACACTGATTACACATCAAGAGCTTCATACCCATGACTTTGTTTACACAGAACACATGTGTGAAAGAAGTCAGCAAGCTTTATCTTATGAAGATAGAATTGTATTACAGTTTCCTTAGTTCTGTGGCTGCTGAGGGATCATGTAAAAAATCAAATCAAGCATTTGGAGAACTAATGTATGTACTTTTTCCAAATCTTCCACAGGCAAAATAAAGTTTCATGATGAGGTTGATTTTAAACTTAGCCCATGAATTTTGGAATAGCAGTTAACAAAAATGGGAAAGAAGTCCTAGGCAAAGGGGAAAAGAAAAGGCAAGACACAGATAATGGAAATGTCATCTGGGGAAGAGCAGGCAGGCCCAAGGGTCTTCTGTAGAATTAGGGATGAGCTTGACAAAAGAGGCAGAGGCCCATCAACAAAGCCCTTGAGTGTGAGGCTAAGGGGCAAGGGAACACCTGCAGAGTTTTGAAGGCTCCAGTTTGCCCTGGATTGGTGCCTGGGTAGTTTGAAATTGAACCTAAACCTCCTGTTGTTTTGAATAGTCCTATTCTTGGCAAAGCATCAATTCAAGAACCTTTTAAAAGTTCATTAAAAATCTCAAATGCTTTTTGAAATACCAAAAGGCCTCGGCACTCCATTTAAATGTAAATATACTCGGGAGCTTAAATACTGAGATTTAAGAATGAATGGAGGAGAATGCCTGGAAATAAATGTGGTTTGGAGAAAGAATTAGAAAAGCAATGAACAGTGAAGGGTGAGCTCAGGAAAGACTTGAATGCATCCAATGATACAGGTTTTTGGAAGTCATTGGAGCCTTGGCTGACATCCCTTAAGAATAATCGTAAGTCAGGGAATTCAGAAGTTGACACCAGGAGAAGAGCCCCTGGATATCAGAATACAAGAGAATGAAAGCACAGAATGAAAGCTCAGCTGGGTTTGGGCAGAGTTATGCTTCCAGGTGGCTGTTTGTGTTAGACATCTGTCAGGTCTGGATCTGTGATCAGTGGTCTACAGAGGAGCTCAGTCCCTTCCAGATGGTGCTCATGCGTGGTGGCAATGGTCACCATCTTCCTCCCACCTCTCAGTAACATCTACCTCACTGCACCCTCCTAGGACTTCAAAAAAAAAGTTGGTTTTATAGAATATGTCTTGAAGACAAAGGAGATAATGAGTGCTGATTTTAAAAAATATTGCCATTCTGAAAAAAACAAAAAGAAATGGAAAAGACAAGGCTCAAATGTAAAACTTGCCATTGTTTATCATGATGAAATATGCACAATAAGTATTTCTAATGCTAACCCTTTCCTTAATCTTAAAATCAAATTATGACAAGACATTTAGTTCTTATTTTATTAAATTCTATATGATTATAGGCCATATAAGTTAGTACAGAGATTTTCTATTTTTAATAAAATGTTTATATTATGTTAAATATCTATATTATTTATATGTTTCTATAAAATAATATAGTTTTTATAATAAAACACAAATTTTAAAAATACAAAATGAACAATGAAAATATGTTGATAAAGTCACCACAAAGAGATAATAGTTGTTAATATGTCTGTTCAGATATCTTCCTAGTCTTCTACCAAAAACACACAAAGTTTTTGACAATCTAGAATCATGCCATACATATATACATTATGTTTAAAGATCTATGTTGTTTATATGTTTCTACAAAACAACGTAGAGATTCAAGATTCCTCTGAAAAAGCCTACCACTTCCCCTGTTAACCTTCAGTTTAAAAGGTTGTGAAAGGACTTTACAAGCTACTAAAAACCTGATGATACAGTTATTCTGGGACATCTGCACAGTGCTCTCTTCTGAATAAGAATATAACCTTGCAGACCCAGAGCTTCATTCTAGATAAATGAAGACTCATCATCAGAAAACATTTCTTTTTTTAAAAAAAGCACATTCAGTGTTATTGGAATAATTTCTAGAATCATGCTAAAAGGTCATGGGTAAAAAGGACAATGTTTTAGTAAAAATTGAACTTTACACAACCTGTATTACCCACCTTTGCAAAAAGAGTGACACAGGCAGCCTTGAGAAGCCTCCAGGAATTCCTAGGACTGAAGAAAGCCATGCTGAATTAGTGCTACATCTGCTCCTGCCCCGTGTGGCCACCTCATTGCTGATAGGATTTGTAGTTTTGGCCAATTTGAATGGGTATTTAATATAACCATGTTCCTGTGTGTTTGAACACCTGAGTGCTTGTGTGAGCCTGTATTTTCTTCATGCTAATTCACAGCCCACATACAAGTGGAATCATAAACTTGAAATAGCTTTGGATTCTTCATAGTCGTATTTAAAATATTTCAAGCATACAGACGACTGTACAGGATAATATGATAATGTACCCAACAAGGGAATTTAACATGTGATAATTCTGATCAGCTTATTTTGGGCCTTTTTGTTAAAGTCAATAGGTGTAGTTGTAGCTTTTTTTGTTTCTCCCTGAGCCCATTTTCTCCCTTTTCCCAAATATAACCAATACTCTGAAGGTAAGATGTGTTCCCAGGAAGAAGCCTTATTCTGTGAATGTCTCGTAGTTGTGTGTAGGGCATCCTGTTGGGAATATATGTCTCTGTGCATCTCTACACCTTAGCAGTTATTGCTGCATTATTCTTATTTCCAACAAGATTTCTAACGTGTCTCAAGAGTGCCTTCCTGGGGATAGTCTCTCTAGTACAAACTAGATTAACAGAAATGTCCTTCCCTGTTTGAAAGAAAAGTTTTTTTTAGAAAATTAAGACTTTGCTTAGATATTAAAAATGACCAGTATACTGCCTATCCTCCTTCCTCCCATCTTACTTGCATTCTCAAAAATATTAAAATTCCAGAGTATACTTTCAAATCAGTCTTCCAAAGTCCAATGTTTTTTGAGTTCCTCAGATCACAGGTATGTTTCAAAATGACTGCTATAAGCATACACAATTTGATTTGTTTCTGGCTCAGATTTGTTTACTAATGGTGTCTCAAATATTCTCATTAAAACCTTACATGAAGCAAATTGCAGAAAAAAATTATAGCTACATGATCTCATATGTAAAATTACAAAAATATAAAATAAATGCATAGTATTCTATATTATATTTTGCTTTAATATATTTTTATGTATTTACTTAAAATACAAATGGCATGCATATTTTTAAAGCACACATTTTGTTATCCACATATAAAATTGGGTTCCTGTAACATTCCATTTCTTTCATTCAAACTTTACATGGTAAGTTATGTCTCGGGTGTATGTATACATTATATTACTGATTAGAATGTGGCCTCCTCAGGGGCAAGAATTGTGTCAACTAAATTTATTATTTCTGTACTGTGTTTTTCATTGATTCCTGGAAGATAATAGGTATACAAAATATATGCCCTGGCTGGTGTAGCTCAGTGGATTGAGCTCAGGCTGTGAACCAAAGGGTCACCAGTTCGATTCCTAGTCAGGGCACAGGTCTGGGTTGCAGGCCAGGTCCCCAGTGTGGGCCATGTGAAAGGCAACCACACATTGATGTTTCTCTCCCTTTCTTTCTCCCTCCCTTCCCCTGTCTATAAAAAAATAAATAGAATATTTTTAAAATATTATGGAAGTATAAATTTGTAACCCAGACAGCAGTATGAGCAATGGCATATCACATAAAGAACAGAATGCCAAAAAGAGAATTTTTAGAAAATATGGATGTCTGTACTCTGCTTTGGGGATAAACTGAGGTACACAGGCAATCAAAGGTCTGAATTAGGGAACCTGCTAATTATCATATGGAAAAAGGAACAAAACTTGGTATATTGAATAAAGAAAAGTCAAAATGTAAAGTCAAAAGTGTATGGCCAGCAATTGGTCAGTGATGACTAGAACGAGCATCTTTTCCACCCTTAAAACAAGGAAACTGCTCAGCAAACAAGTTTGTTTGCTTGTGCATTTGTTTTACCAGGGAGGTGCAGTCACAAAAAATAACCTAAAATATGGAGAGAGACAAACATTAGTAATGAAAAACATAACTTAGCCCTTTATTTGCTTGGGACATTGTTATTGAATGCCACATGCACTGTTAAGAATCAACTAAAAATGTTTAATGAATTCTAAAGACTAGGTATATATTTGTGAGAGTGTGAAGTTGCTCTGGGCCACAAACATAAAGCTGTTTATATACTCTCCCTAGCCTTTTCACCAGCTTCTCACAAATGAAGGTGTGGAGAGAGTCCAAGAAAGCTTTTACCATGCCCTGGCTAGGGGAGAAGCACAGGAGTTACTGCTGACACTCTGCCCAGTTCTGAAGTCACTATCTCCCCTATGAAACAAAATACTTGACCTGCAAAAGCAAAGTAACCAAACTTTAGCCTGAAGGCATTGATGGAAACTCAACTGGGGAAAAGAAACAGAAAACAAAACCCATCCCTGGGAAATCAGGAAGAATAAATGCAAGACAGTATTACATTGGGAGAAGGGCAGGGATACTGGAAAAGCTCACACTTTCAAGGTTCAGGTTCACAGTGCTGAAAATTAATGTGTAATTAAAACAGCAGAATATTCCCCAGGACCTTCTCCCACACTCTAGCAAGCAATGAACAAAACAAATATTAGAACACAGGAGAGGGAGCTTCAGGAGACAGAAATTCTCTGGGAGCAGAGAAAAAGAAAGGCCCAGGGGCATATGAAGAGAGTCAAAAACAAGGTAAAAGAAAACTTCAAACCCAGTTCAACTCCTGAGTATGTTAGCACAACACACCCTCTTAAAAATAGAAGAAAAAAATTTATCTCCAAGCATTAAAATTTTTATGTCAGTATCTATTCCCTTACACAATATGCTATGCTTTTAACAAAACACTTTGGGGCATAGACAGTAGCTGACTAAACATAGTCTGAATAGACAAAGAAAACATTGAAACCAGACTCATATATTCACAGACATTGAAATTATTAGATAAAAAATTAAATAACTATGATTTGCATGTTAAAGCCTGTACTACAAAAAAAATAGAGGACAAAAATACAAGGTCAGATATGTAATGTCATCAGAAATGAAAGTCATATGAATAAAAATAAAATTATAATATTTAAAATAAAATACCAAAATCACAATAACAAGTATGGAGAATGCTTCTAATGGACTTGCCAGTAGACTCAATACAGTCAAGTAAAGAAGACATGAGCTTAAAAGAAATAAACAGAAATTAACCAAATTGAAATACAAAATGAAAAAGTAGAGGAGAACATCAGAGAAATGAGGTACAATATAAAATAGTCTAACAAATGGAACTGAAATAACAGAGAGTAAAAGAAAAAATTAAAGAAATAATAACCATGAAATTCCCGAAATTATTAGCAGACACCAACCACAGACACAAGGTCTGAGAACATTAAACAGAATAAATACTAATACAACTACACCTAGTTCTATCATAATTATATTGCTGAAATCCACAAAGAGAAAATCTTGAAAGTAGACAGAAAAAAAAAAAGACATTACAGAGAGAAACATTTGTAAGAATTACAGCAGACTTTCATCAGAAATCATGTAAGCAGAAAAGCAATGGAAAAACTATTTAGCATGCTGGAAGAGAAAAAATCAACTCTGGATTCTATATTTATTAAAAATATTATCAAAAAATTATGGAGATAACTTTTGGTTTCAACTCCAACATGTAACAAACTTTGGACATTGTGACTTCCATCTTTACAGCAAGACATAGCAAAACAAACTATCAATGACTTTTGTTGAACCTGTCATTGAACTGAAGTAACATGGCATACTACTATCCTAAGATCTAGAGAGATAATCAGTCCAGAAACTCACAGCTGAGATCTACTTACCTAGAGCAGAAATCTCTGGAGCCATTACTGGTAAAGAAACTTAAATAGTGTTTTTTAACTAATTGTTGAAGGCTGAATGCAGATTAATATGAGAGATTATCTCTTTGGGACCACAGACTTAAGAATTTCCTGGATTTAACCTCCATGAATCCCAAGATATTTGAACAATGAAGACCTGAGAAAAAATTCCCAAGTTGCCTTGTCAAGAGGAAGGGAAGAGTAATCATTGTGAAACATGGGTCAACTTTTATCATAACAAAGACCTATTCTCCAAGGTTAAAGACTATCTAGTAATAGATACTAATATCTATTGACTGTCTGCAGAGCATATTTTAGGAAAGGTTTGGCAGAAATGATGCATGTATGTGTGACAGAGAAAGTAATTAGTCATACAGCTATTCTTGTGAATACTGGCTTGTTATCTGTTCTCAACTCCCTGGTAATAACCTTTGAGCATACACCTAGCTGTACATATTGCCCATTAATTGTGTAATTTTAAATACATGCATTGTGCCAAAGCAAACCACAAATACCATTTAAGAAAAGCTAGTAGGAAACACTATGATATTAGGAGATCTGGGATGACATTCTGCCTTCTCTGAAAAAATACCTTTTCCAAAATACCTTTGCTGTCACAGTCAAAAATACCCTTTAAAGAAAGAAAAAAATTAGCAAGGTCGTTGAAATATTTCTTTTTATGAAAGTCCAGTTTTTTAGGAGGGAAAAGGTTGATAGGGCTTCCAGGGACATAGAAGGTGGCATGAGAGTGGCAGGGAAAAAATGAAACATGGAGGCTGAAGGTTCCAAAGATGAGTTCTATTAATTTCAAAATTTTCTGTAGACTTGTGGGTGGGTTTCTGCTGTGCCTTACTTAAAATGATTGATAAATTTGGTACATAAAATGACTCAGCTCCCCAGACCTGGGATATCTGGGAACAATCTCTGAACATACCTTTCTGAAAACTTCTTTGAATAGTGATCTTAGAAATCAAGAATTTGCACATTCTGGGTCAGAGGGCAAGATGCATGGTTGGTGGGTAGATCTGGGGATGTTCACCTTCTTGTTTATAGATCCCTCCAACTATACAACAAGATGGAAAACTGGATTTTTTTCTTACACATTTATTTTGCCTCCTTTATACCAAGCTGTGCTTTTGAGAACAAACTGGAATTAACTAGGCCCTTGCTAAGTTGTATGAAAACACTAAAATATCAATGACACCTCTCCCCCATTCTATATGTGTTCATGAATTCATTTTAGTCTCCACAGAAATCTCTTGTGCTAGAAAAACAAACAGCCCTTTGAGTCAAACTTATGTCTGTTTATACCCCATGGAGAGCTGGGGATACATAGATTAAATCAAGGTTGACTTTGCTCAGAAAGAATGAAGGGAAAGAAAAACTTCTCAGGAGCATTATCTTAGCTGAGCTGTGTTTAATCACTCTCTAGGAGAAGATATATACTATGGTTTCCTTGTTTGGCTTTTTTATTATTGCCTGAAGTACCATCCATCAGTCCCTAAAACTCAGCCATATCTACCTATGTTTTATGACCAGAGTCAAGAACCCTCTCTTTCAGGAAGTCACTACTGACTTTTCTCAATTTATGATACTAGCTTTTCTTCTAGTATATGCTACATGAAAAAACCGGCTCCTAACAGGATACCCTGACCTCACTCTATCCAGTGATCCCAGGTTTACGGTTAGTGAAGCCTCAGACACTGACCCTCTGCAGCACTCATTGGTAGTCAGCATGCACTCTAATGAGGTGGCTATTTAGTGTCTCCATGCCTGTAGCTCTGGTCTCTGGTGGCAAGAGGAAATTCTGCAGAAAGGAATAGTCATTTTTATGTTCCACCCATAGCTTCCTGTAACATCCTTCTTTTCTCCCACATTCTGTAATAATTTTTTTAATCTTTCACAGGCATCAACTCACCGAAACTGCACAATAGTTTGCAAAGTAGTTTCTCATCGTTGTCCTTGTCACCAGAAACAAAGATTCAGTGAGATAAGGCATTTCGATAAAATACATTCTGCTGGAAAGTGATGAAGCCAACCGTACCAAAGACATAAAACCCACTCCACCTTCTTCTCACTGGAACCCATTTATTCTGTCTTTCCTATAAAAACCAATTTAATTTAATGCTTTGCATAGAATGGATAGTGCTAAGTCATATCAGATTAAATTGTGGCAAGACTCAATAAACTAGCAGAAAAGAAATAGTTTCAATCTAGAAAGAGTCTGCATTCCCATTACCTTAAAAACATCTTTAAATTTTAGTTCGCTTTAAAGAAAAGGAAGCTGCAAGTCATAACAAATTCATTAGGAATGAGGTTTACACAGGAAATTTAATGTAGCAATCCAATCAGAAAACCTGTATCGAAATCACAGATCTTGCCTTTACATAGAAACATTGCTAAATGAGTAGACATTATTCTGTTATCAGTTCAAATAAAATATTTAAGGCAGTCATGCATCATTGCTTTTGATTCTCCAATTTAACTTACCTTTCTGACTAGCCAGCCAATGACTGGCTTCAATGGAATCATATAAGAGGCTGTCTACTGCCATGTAAAATTACAAACCACAAAAGGCTCCAAAGATGGCAGTAAAGAAGAGGTATGGAGGTCAAATCCACAATGGAGATAGACATATTGCTGAGTTTGGGTGTGGCTGCACTTCCATTTGCTATCCTTTTCCCAGCTGCTCTTTCATTCCGAGGACTCCATCATGACATTAAAGTCAGCCAGGAGGCCATGTCAGCTGTGTGCACAGGGATCTTGTCCTCTGAGAGCAACTTCACGTATTGTCCTTGGTCTCTGGGATGAATCATAATCTCAATGTAGGCAGCTCATTGGGCAGGTGTTGGGGGTGCTTTATTGAACTGTAGCAAGAGTAGATGGAAAGCACACAGTGAGTTTGGCACCTGCACCTCAGCTTGGGCTCAGATGCCCAGAGCAAATTCCATCCATCACACAGGGTTGGTGAAGCTTGAAGGTGAGAGCCAAACCCACAGATACCATCTGGGAAGTAGAAAGAACCTGTAAAGCAGAAGTCAGAAAAATTGGCTTTGAGGCTTGGCTGTGGCTCTTAACAACAGGAATATTCTAATCAAGTCATAAAAGCACTCTAGGATTCAATTTCCTTTACCTATAAAAATGTAGATAATAATTTCTACCATGCCTGTCTCTGAAGTTTCTTGTAAATAGAGGGAACAGAGAGTTCCCTCTATCTCTCCTATAAGGAACCTTCTGACCCTTGCCTCGTGCTGAGGCCTCTGCACCCTTCCATTAGCAGCTTCTTCTAAGTGAGGTGAAGTGCTAATTGGTAAATGTAGAATATTAATGGAGCATGTTTTACTAGTGGGCCTTAAACATCAATGTCTGCAGCAATGTCTGCATCAATGTTGTCATCATCCTTGCTCATTGTAAGTTGACTGGGCTAGGTTTTTCCTTCTGGTGAGGGCAAATCTCTGTGGCCCCTGTTGAGGCTCAGCCTTCTCTATCCATTGAGGACTTGGTGTAAAGGAATAGACTCCAACTCCAAACCTTATTCTTACACTTCATTAAATATGGGTCCGTCAATCATGAAATAAAAGCCCAGCTGTGAGTACTATACACTTTGTTTCTTATCTGACAGTTCATGGTTTGTACAACAGCTTTGGTCAGAACCCTAGAGAATAGGGATTAAATGCTAAGACAACAAAATACCACTCCAAATCCTTAGTAGGAAAGATCAGAGAAGAAATGTCCTGTAAAATAATATATTCAATATAAAACAGAATAAAAGGTACAAATGATAAATATAATCACTTCAGAGTCATGAATTGTTGCAAAGGGGAAAGGAGGAAACATCAATTTCTCATAGAAATGCAGAAATGTGATCTTTGCCTTGTTTTCTTAAGTGCTGCAGAGCTGTACCTACTAACCGGTGCTGCTTACTTGCACCAAAAATGCACCTTGGCTTAGATCCATGGCACAAAACTTTCTGTTGAGCAATATTTTTTTAAGTTCAAGCAAGATATCTCATAAAATGCAATTAATTATCTTATACCTCAGTTTTCCTGCCTTTAAAATGAAGTTCATTGGAGTTCTTACATTAGCAGGGAGTTTGGAGGAACAAAGGAGATAATAAATAGAAAAGTTTGTTGTAAAGTAGCAAACAGAAATATACACACGAATATGTACACATACACGTACTTTTATTTATATGTACATATGTCTGTATAATGTAGCTCAAAAGTAATTTTACAGCTGTGATTATGCAAAACACAGAGTTTATTCTTGTATTATTATTTATTAATCACTGTATTGATATCATTTTCCATACCAACAACTGCAAACCTACTTTTGCCCCACCCAGTATGTATGTAAATGTTAAGACAACGTATCAACATATTTATGTATAACTTATCAAAATATATATGTTTTGTATACATTGATAAGTTACATTAAACATTTAGTGAAAACCTACAAAGAACAAATAAGCACTGTATCTGACCTGTGAAGTACTAGTCACTATGCTGGTCACGTGAGTTAAATCTTAAAATTTTTGTGGAATGAGTTACTTTTAAAAATATACTTATTTCTAAATTTTGAGATAAATTGTATTCCCCTCTGTCACTCTTCTTGCTTTAGGCATGCTTTTTAAGACATAAGCTTTTGTAGCATATGTCCTTTTACTGGAACTTCAACCCAACTTTTATGAGTTGGAAATTATTGCCAACTTTTTACAGAGAAGCACAAGAAGCAACATCAGCCTCAGAGTAATGCTCTTCACTGTTCATTAACCAGATGCAGCATCTTTCAGAGCTTTTGACTGAGTAAAGTCAGGCGATTCTTATCCTTAGAACTTTCACACTGTTTTAACCTGATTACCTTGAGTAAGGTATCATGAGGCTGGATGTAGATCAAGAGAAAAGAATTAAAGTTTTACAGTTTTATTATGCTCAGCATTCCTGAGAGAGAACACAGCAAGACATGCAGGGCCATGTGGGGATGTGCCAGGGGCACTATCAAAGCAGAGGAAGAAGAACAGTGAGTCAGCATTTTTACTGTGGTTTCTGCAGGAAGGAATGGACAAGACAAGGCAGGAGGTCTTAGACTTGACCAGTGTAAACAATTTCTGCAGGTTTGGATCATGGGCTGTCCTTGGCTGCCCAGTAGCTGGCCCGGGGAAAACTGAGGCAGATGTGTTGTGGTCTGAAGTGTGAGATCCTATAAAAGGAGAGGATGAGGGCCTTAACTGCCTGCTCAGTTAGGAGAACAGACCAGCTTCTAACCAGAACTCCTACTCTGGGTTAAGACAACAAACACACACATGCAAATATATATTATGCCACCTAATATTCAGAGAACATATCTGACAATTTATTATAATTTTCTATTTTAAAAAATAATTAGGATAGTATATGGATTTGTAATATAAAAAGAGATTCAGTATAAGGTCAGGTCTCAGCTATCCTGCATACTAACTATGTGAAGTTGAACAAAATATTTATCTACTTTATGTATATATATATATATATATATATATATCACTAGAACATAATTAGTGCCTTATAATGACTTGTCTATACATGTTACCTTAAAAATATGTTAGCATGTAAATAAAATGACATAAAGCTGTATTTGATCTCTCAGAATAATTTATAAAATTCTGCTACCCTAACCTATTCAAATTATAGCATTTAAATTATAGCAAAAGAGAAACTATAACTTGTTATGGAATCTAAAATTAAGTTTATTGGACTCAAGTGCAAATAAAATAAAACTATAACATTTGAAAACCTTGGAATCTCTTAAAATAATAATAATAAAGACGCCTGTGAAAACTAATGAATGTTTGTGTTACCATATCCATCTTAATAAGAGTCATTGAAAATTAGTGAATATATCATGTATCCAAAATACTTTAATATATTTAACTCATTCATTGTCCTATTACTAATGCAGACATAAATTATGAAGAAACAATGTTAGACTGGAGTAGAACCTTGAGAGTCACCTGGTTTAGCACCACCATATTAGAAATGGACTCTTCCATGGTGAGAGAGGAATTCCACCTGTTAGCATCCTCAAGAAACTGAGTCCTCAGGATAGCTGGACCAGAGCAGATTAAAGTCCATTTCTCTTAGTTGGGCTTTAGATTTCCCAGAAGGCCAAGCATCAGATATCCAGAGTCAGAAATGGAGGTCAGAGTCAGAAACCCCATTAAAGCAGAAACTTGTGACTTCTGCTGCACACAGTCTGTGGTACTCCAGTTTGCAGTGTTCTTCCTCAGTAGAAAAACCTGGAAATAAACACTGGGTGAGGGTCACAACAGCTCTGTCAGTTTGCAGAAGTCCCTCCTCACTTTGATCCTCACTGTTAAAATGGGCTGTCTATAATACTCATCCCACAAGAATGCTGCTAAGATTTAATTCATACAGCCAGCATGGTGACCAGTACACTGCAGGTCTGATACAAGCACTCATTTGTTCACTAAATGTTTATTGTAACTTATCAAGCACCATAATACACTTATAGGTCTTAATGGATAGTTCTATTATTGTTCCAAAGTCCTTCACCTATTCCTCAAAATGAACAGAGATAGGAAATATGGAAGCATCCTCCATTTAACATCATCAACATGTACAAAGATTGTCTACAGCATTCTATGTCTCATGGGATGTTCTCTTAGGTCTCCTTCCACAATCATTCATCACTCACTTTATGCTTCTGTGTTGCCATTTGTTAATATCCAAGTGCTTGATACTAATTATTTTGGTGAGGAAAACAAAGCTGTTTCAGACATAGAGAGAAACTCTGTGCATCACTAAAAACATCTTTAAGGATAAAGTCCCTTAATGACAGGACTGGTGATACCATTCAATCTTGTCAAACTACTAGGATCAGGGTAGGCAAACCTGTCACTTGCCCCAAGCCAAACTGCTCAGAGATTAATGTTTATCTTACCCTGTGTAGAAGCACATAGAAAATAAACAACGTGGGAACAAGGTTCACCATCTATTTTTAAATGCTTCCTTCTATTTTGGACTGAACGTGCACAATTTTTGTTGAGCAATTTCAGCTAATTGTTGGAATAACATTTTTGGGAACAGATTGCAAACTTCAAAATGGAAAAGATCATTTTAGGGAGGGAAGCTAGGCAGCTGTCAGGGAGTCGGAATTAACATACATTTGCATAACAGATGTACAGTAAGGTGTCTATGACAGACAATCACTGAATATTAATGCTATAGACCACGACATCATTTGCGTAAGTGCTGTCTGCTGGGTACTGAGGTTGGTGTGCTCTTTGCAGAAGACAAAGGGCCAGAGAATGGAACAGATGCACCAGATACACCAATGCATCTTAATTTATGACATCCTCATGAAAGACCTTGTGGTGTGATTTCAGATTCTATTACAAATAATTTGGAGATAAAGGCACTAAGTAATTATCTTTTCCCCTACAGTTAGTTTCTCTCAAAGGAAGAGGATTCATTTGTGGGCTGCTATTGTTATACTCTCAGGAGAGTGGCATTCTTTTTGTGAAGTGGGGGTAGGGTGAGGAAGAAAAGGAAAGCGTTCCTGAAAGTCAACATTGTGCATTCAATAGATTTGGCTATTAGCATGTTGTCAGACACCTGTCACAGAGCAACTCATCCCCTATTTGAATGAAGCAGCAGGTGATTCTATGGCAGGTTTCAAAAGGTATTTTTTAAATAGTGAATTAGTGTTGAAGTGTAAAACACTTTTTGTTAAGTCAATGTTACAAACATATGTTGAACTTGTTCTATGTGCAAAGCACGGGTTTCTTTTTATTGGTACCTTAATCAATTCCT